TGCCCATGTGCAGAGAGCGCCCACGATTCACCCCTCCGTGGCTTCCAGTCCACAATTTGGCTTCTAAACAATCTAGGAAACCACAACACCTGCCATGGCAGTTCAGCTCCCATGTCACTGAAGAAGGTGCCTTTGCATACCATGAATCAGTGGCACACGAGGAGAGATGATGGACTGGCCTGACCTTCCTCATTCGTCTCAGGAGGGTGCTACACCCAAGCTAACAAATCCGTTTAGGAAATTCAGGCCCATATCTAATAGATAGAGGACCTGTGCTTTGTACTTCCAGTCTCAGCCCAGATCAGAGCACCTCAAGTCAGCTATTCACGCCCACAGTTATTCAAACAACAAAGGCTGAAGCCAGATTATGAATGAAGCAACAGGATCGATTGTCTTATCTACCCTCCCCCTCCCACTAACTGGAAGATGCTATTCAGGGAAAATATAATTTAAAGGTGGAGGCTAACAATGAATCAGATTGATTTTTAGATGAAGAAAATAGATGTAATTGCAGTCTACCTGCTTACAGTTTGCCAAGTGAGAGTAAGTTTCAGGCCAATCAGGCCTCCTCTTCCCTTCCTTATTCCAGCCCCTTTCCCTCTTCTGTCCCCCACCAAAGAAAGAAAAAAACCTTACAGAAAGAAATTCCTTTACACAAGACAATTAAGTGTTGCTCAGAGCCAGCTCAATGCTAGCTTTCCTCTCCCTGCTAAACAGTACAGAGCCTGAATTAATGGATGTACAGAGGGTCTACTTTCCAGGGAAAAGCAAATTCCGAGTTTGCAGCTGAGAGGAATGCATCGTATGTCTGGTATTCACGCTGCGCCCTCTTTTCCTCTTTCTTTTTTTGGCCATATAAGGAGCTGAGCACAGCAGGCTGGGCCAGGGAGCGCAGCGCTGCGTGCTCAGCACCGTTAGCCTTCCGACTTTGTTTGCCTTTACTGGAAATCCAATAAATCCATCCAGGAAAAAAGCTAGTGCATATGCCATGGAGTGTCAGGCTCAGACATCGCGTTCCTGAGATGCAGGATAAAAAGAGAAGCAAGCTGAACAAGACCAGCCCAGCAAGTGCTCCCACAGAGCTGCAAGCACACGTACACTGCACAAGCAATAATTTCCTTCATTACGTGGCAGGGAAAGGGGTTGATAACTCAAAAACTAGAGACTATTGCAGCTCCAGTCCTAAAGGGTTGTTTCCGAGATTTGCAGCACTCAAATCATACCTGCACAGAAAATAAAGGACAACCTGGCCTTCAGTGCATGCAGCTGGGGCTGCATGTGCCCTTAGCCACAGAGAAATAGATCCTCTCTAATACAGGTTATAAACAGGAGTGTGGGACTGCACTTTAGAGATGTAAATTGCTGGGAATTTTTCCTAGAGTCCTGACAATCTCTAAGTTTGAGACTATTGCAGCAATTTCAGCGGCAGACTGGGATTTCCATATCCCCAATGCAATTACAATATTACAGCCTAAAAAATAAAACCTTTTTGCCATTACTGCTGCTTCTGTAAACAACAGACTGTTCCTGTGGGCACCCAGGGCGCTGCATGAACAAAAAGAGAGGAGAAGACACACATCATACTACCTTCCCTTTATGGAGATTGAAGGGTGCTGCCCCATGGGACGACAACAGCAGCCATCAGAGCCCCTTATGGGTGGCCCCAGGACCACAGAGCGGGGCAGAAGCCCACAAGCAACCCAAACTCACATGAACACCCTGTCCTCCCACCTCTGCCAAGCACATGAAGTTCCATCCCCTCCCCAGCACTAACACCTGTGGGCTGCAGCTCCCCATTGCCACCCTCTCTTTGGAGGTCCCCTCCCAGCCCCTGCAGCTGCCTACTCCCAACCCTCCACCTGCACAAGGGAACGGGAAGGACAGCAGCCAGAAACCTCTTCATGACATCCGAAAACAGACTTCAGCCTTCACCTGTTGTATCCCAGATGGAGCCAGGGAAGCACCAAGTGGAGTGACTTGGATGAAGACACACAGCTGAAACTTGACTGGGGGAAGGGAAAGTTTCTAGCCTCATTAATAACAGCCTGAAATTAAAAGCAGAGCTTGCAGTACAGCTGCAATTTCAGCCACCCCGCTGCTTGTGTTAACAGTGTGGCTTTACTATGGTCAGGGATTAAAAACAGCTTCAACAATTAAAGGAGGGAAAAGAAAGAAAATAATGACTGCACGAAAGAACCACTACCAACAAAAATCAGTAAAATAAAAAATTCCTGCGGCTGGAATGATTAGCATGAGTGAATGCTTCCTTCCCCGCTGCCAACAGGCCCACACATGTTCCCTGCCAAGCGCATCTGTCCCCTACCTTTGCGAAACCACCCGCTGCCCTGTGTCTCAGCACCAGCCACCGTCAGTCTCCCCAGAGATGTCACCTCCTGCCAAGAGTAGGTGCTCTGCAACCACCCTGCTCTAAGCAGACAGCTTGGAAACCTTCCTTACTCTTGCTGTCTAAATGCTACAGCATTAGGAGCAAAAAGAGAAAGAAAAAGACTTTGAATAAATGACTAATATGCCTCTAACTCCTCAGGAGGCACCGGTCCTCGCCGAGCAGCCACAGAAGCAGGAGGGGAGAGCGGTGGGGTGGATCAGCAGACCCAGACAGCTCCTCACAAGATTGGAGAAGAAACACGCCTGTGTCTCTTGGAGATGAGCTGGTTGCTTAAGGGTTCCTGAAAGCAGTCACCCTGCATTCCCCAGCACCTGCCCACAGCAGCCCTGACACCACCACAAATGAGCTGCCAGCAGGAAGTCTCAGTCTGTCATGTCTCAATACAACAGTTGATGCCTTTGAGGGATTGGCCAATAATGCTGAGATTGAACCTACCCTCTCTTCTTTATAAGAATTAAAAGCAATATATTCATGAGAAAGAGGAAAACTATCTCCCTTATCCTTTCACCACTTTTGTGACAAGAGCAGTTCCTGGAGATATCACCTTTCGGGCAATCACTTATGTTCACTGCCAAAGCTACTGAGGACCAGAATTCCCTTAAAGGCCAAAAATATCACAGACCAAGCTCACACTTTTTCTCAATAGTGTTTCTGCTCTCTGCCCTCAACAGGTTTGCAGCCCAGTTGACTAGAAATTTTGGAGTTTGGGATTTTTTTACTCCTTTTATTTCACTAATAAAATAGTGCCTTTGCCTTTGAACAACAAAAAAAAGTAAGCACAGCCACAGCATTGCAGGAAGGTAAAAGTTTTCCCTCATCCACACCTACAGCTCTTTCACCACTGCAGAACATTTGGCTTTCAAAATCATCCCAACCATGGCCCCTCAACCAAAGCCCCTGCCTTTGCACTATGAGGATATTAACACGAGAACCACAGGACATTTGCAGAGATATGCTCTGGGCAAATTCCAGCAGCTACCACAGAGCTTCAGTGCTCCAGAGCCAACCTCCCAACACAACCGTGGTCATCCTTACCCAAACAACAGACCTACATTCCTCCAGTGCTTCCCATGGGGACACACTGGACAGATTTGGTCCTCAGAGCAACATCAACCCAGCAGCAAAAGCAATGCTAGGAACACCCAACAGATCTGACCCCCATTCCTGCTCTGGGACAGATTCAGAATCATTTTCCATAGGGGATTGAAGTCACATCCCTGCCAAGAGAGTTATTAGTTGACGGAAAAAGTCTTTGCCATATCTGGAGACAAAACAGTGGATTCAGGAAAATTCTTGCCGCAACAAAAAGACGATGATGCCCAACCAATCCACTGTTGTGTGACAATGCAAGGGTCCAGACATCTGCCCTCAAAAACCAGCCAAAAGCACTTTACACTATTTGCTTTCATAAGCCCAGAAACTCCAAGGCAGTTTGGGCAATCCCTTCACAATTCCCTTCATTGTAGCGTATGACGTGTTTCAACAGAACTTTATTTGAAGCTATGTCTGCAAAAATATCACAGTTAAGGTGGCAAGTCCCCAGGAAGCCACACAGCTGTCTGCACCATGTCCAGGGCTGGTTTGGTATCACGCAAAAACCAAAACCTCCATTCTTTTTACCCAGAAGTCTCCAGTATTTCAAAAACATTTAAAATAAAGCTAAGAAACCCCACAATACACTTTCTCAGACACCAGAGTACTTTCACAATACCAAGGTGACTGCAATCAAAAATCACCGTGGCTTAACAAATTTCAGTGAAGTGACTTCTCGGTGGTTTCAGTTAAAGAGCTTTGCCTCGCCTTTTCAGCAGGCTGGGAGAACACGTGGCCATGGCAACTTCAGCTGTGAGAACAAACCAACTCCCTGCAGCCTCACAGCCCCACCATGGAAAGCACCATCCCCACTCTGCAGACAGAAAGCATGGAAGTTCTCATGAACTATAAAAGCTCTTGAATTTCCATTAGAGAGTTACTGGAATTTATTGGGTTAAGCATGCTAATATATCAAAACCACCAAGGACTTAAACTTTGTACCTATACAATGCAAGCCCTGAGATTCTGTCCTCCTATTGATAAAGTACCTTTGTATTAATGGGGCTTAAAACGGATTTTAACCATTAGCTGAGAACTTTCCTCCGTAAAAGGGAGTCATCCAGGTACATTCATAGGAGCATACTTCCTGTTCTTCCTGAAGTTGGAAGGTTTTGCTTGAGCCAACGCTAGAGAGAGGACTTGATCAGAAAAGCACCCAGCGTCACTGCTGGTCTTGGCAAGATTGGATTTACTACAGCAAGGACTAGAAAGAAGATCTGCCTAGTCTGAAGGCCAGAAGTCCAAAAGGCAAGCCAAAAAGTAACTCATTCCCTTTCCTAACAAACCGTGTTTTCAGCTGGAAGTTGCTTGGCAGCCTTCCTACCAGAGGATGCTACAGGTCAAGACAAGGGTTCATTCCCGGCCAGGCCGAGTGGGGACATATGAAACACAAGAACAGACAGTGCTTTGCAAACAGGGCCTGGAACACCACAAGGATTGCATCTGCTGGGCAGTAAGGGATGCTGCTGGCCAGGGCTGACGGGCTCCAGGAAGTACTGACCTTCCAGAGAGCAAGGATGGGGTAAGCACTGAGGCACAAACAGGAGTAGCCAAGGCCAAGTCTTCAGGCAACCAGCTGCACCACACCAGCCTCACGAACACCTTTGGTTTCTTGTTTCTGTGAAGAATCAAACATAATGGCATTCTATAAGAAAAATGTCACTTAAACTCCTTATTAAAGGTAATTTCCTCCCCCACCCCTTTTTCATTAGCAACACTCAAGCATTCATCAAATGATCCTGTTACTTCCAGGTAAAACATTAGTCTTTTTAAAAAGAACCTACATATTAGCACTGTCTATTGTTATAACCATAAAAAGTTCTACCAAAAAATCAATTTAGAAGCACAGTGTCCCATCCACCTGAATAGGAATTTATCTTAGATAAACCTCATACACAGGGAAACCCATAAGTGCTTGGGGAACAATGCTCTTATGGGGAAAAGATGCAACAATAACTACATTAGTTTTCCCTTCTAGGCAATAGCTTTCCACTTAGATTTTATACAGTGCACCTGCTTATTATTCTTATTACAAGATATTCCATTCAAATCCATGCTGCAAGCATCCCACTCATCACAAAGAGACTTCAGGACGGCAAAAAAAAAAAACAAACCAAACATTAAAGGAAAGCAATCTGTAGTAGCACATTGCACCACACTGATTTCAAGCAGGCTGTCATTCTGATCACACCAGACCGCATTTCAACTCCAACAGTATCCTTCAGTGAAACGCCCCTGTTACAGCACTGTTCTTGCTACATGGAGTCCTTTTGAAATGAATGGTACAAATTCTCTCAGTCTTTTGAAAAGAACTGTGTTGCTCAGAGGGCTTCAACTTTTCACACCATCTTTTCCAATAACTTGCAAAGCAGTAAGGCCAAAACAGGCCATTCTTCAAGGCAAGAATTAAAAATAAATAAATCAGCACTTTCCTTGGGAAGGAACTACAGAACAGGGCTGTGAATCCCAACTCAAGAGAGCCTTATGTGTCATTCCAGATATAGGACAACTCAGAAAATCACTTAAGTACACGATTAACTGTAATATGCGCTTAAGTTGCTTTGACTTCCGTAGGACTTAAGCATATACTTACGTTCTTTCCTGTACAGAAATACTCTCTTAAACCAGATCCTGTTTTGTAGGGTTGCTGCACATATACACACACACTCACGTGCAGCTCATGCCCTCAGGAAAGCTCTGGCTCCCCAGCCTAGCTGCAAACCAGACTGCCTGAATTTTGTGCCTACATACAGACCAAAGTGTTTCTTTCATTCAGAGCTTTAAATAACCACCCTGAGGTCTGGAAGTACTTCATCTTGGACAGGGGCATGAGAAAAGACAGCAATTTCCTCCCAGCCTTCCACCACGCTACTTCACTGGGCATGTGTGACTGCTAAACTTTGTCATTTCTGGTCTTTCAGATGCCTGGAGTCTTCTGTGGCCCAGGACAGCATTATAAGGCAGACACCAGAAAACAAGGTGTAACTCCATTGGCATCCCTTTCCTCCCAGGATGCTCCGCACCAAACCCAGAAATGTCTTTGATTTCCAGTTCACTGTGTGATGGAGGAGAAGGGTTATGGAGTGATGAGGCAGCCAACCACTCACAAAAGACCACAGATACTGGCCCACATTATACTCAAAGGGACCACCATGTAACCCACCATATCCCCCCACCACGGCAGATAGTGCAGTGTTGTCTCACATAGGCAACCGCAGAGCCAAGAGCAAGGAAGGATGCAATAAGTGACAGAGAACATTCTTTAGTCCTTCTCAGCAAGGGAAGGGCTGAAGGACTACAGCAATGAACAAGAGGCATCTGAACCAGCCCTATCATCAAGGACTCGCATGTTTCCAAAGAGAACCTCAGCCAAAAAAACCTCTTTGCTGATCCCTCCTCTCACCAGCTACTCTCTTGCTATTAGAGTTAATTGCAAGCACATTGTTCCTACAGCTTGTCTGATAGAAAGGAACTCCTGCTATGCAGGGGCTTGGTTTTCCCATTTTCTCCATTCTCAAGGCAATGCAATAAATTATTATTGTATATGTTGGCTTAGCAAACAACTAAAGCATCCATGCTGAGTGCCTGCGCAGGACCATGCTGTTTCTCAGTGTGATCTGAAATAGCCAAGATATTAAAACCCCACACAGAATTGAGTTTCTAATGGAAAAATAGATGTGCCAGATACTGACACTGATGATTATTGTGCTAGCATGGGATAGAGCCCAAACCCCTCCAGGTTAGAGGGCTGAGCCTTCCCTGTTCCTCAGTGACCCACATTACAGTCTATCTGCTCCCACATCAACCCACTTCCTCAGGTTACTTGCCCAAAAGATGGATGTACACTATCCTTTCCCAGCCCTGGCCTTTCCCCTGCACTAATCATCACTCTGTTCCAGTGACTACCCCTCCTGGATAAGGGATCAACAAGATCTTTGGTGCTGAAGATGGCATGGGAGAAGAAACACTTCACGGAAAGACATCAAATGATGCATCCAGGTTTTGGATTCCACCAGTTCAATGGCTCAACACAATCCTCCATTTGGGGAAGCACCAGCTGAACAAAACTCAACTCTGTTCAGTAGTGCAAGTTGACTATATTTTACTTCTTGAAAAATCCCTTTCTTACAGATGCCATGCACTGAAAATACTATGATGAGAAATCTCTGCAGATTCAAGATATCAAGGTCTTAAGATCATAACCCTTTTCAAGAAAGGATCAGGACAGCAAACCACACATTCCCAGCACACCTACAACTTCTCCATGCCCAAGATGGGTGTCTAATTCAAATCCACCCTGGCCTTTTTAAAGTTCTTCTCTCCAAGATAGTGAAACAGGCTCCAGGAGCAACAGAGATGCCTGATCTGTTAGCTTTGTGCCCAAAGCCAAGACCAAAGGTGCTGCTTTACCAGAGCAGCAGGGAGGAGGTTGCCAACCAACATTATTCTCTACTGCAACACAACTTCGGGGCTTTCCCCCACCACTCTGGGATCTCCAGCACTCTGTGCAGGGGATTCTGCATCTCCAGTAGTGTGGAGGCTCACAGAGCTGGGGAGAAGTCTCAACATGCACTTCCACACAGGGGGGTGATGGGGTTTGACCTCGAGGGTCTCTGTGACAGTCCTGCATTGAATACAAGACACACAGTAACGCTGAGCCTTGTTCCAGCTGAAAGCTAAATGCCTGTCTTCCCCTCTCAAAACACAGAAATGTCAAAATATCTGCTCATCAGACAAATTACAGAAACAATCAAAGATCACATAGCAACTGCAGGGAGGAGAGTCACCGCTGCAAGCCTGCCCCAGGGAAGTGCAGCATCCCAACATATAAAACTAAACACCCTCAAAAGTGAAAATAATACAGGAAAGTGTACTGCCTGTTATTTAAATATGGATTTCTATTACAGAAACTCACCAGGAACCTGCCCCCACCCCCCCCCCGCCCTCGACCCCTGCAGGGTAACACATTATCTTCTTCCAAAGGTGACAACAGATCAAATAAGAACAGGAGTGACAAAGAGGCAGGAGGAGGGGAGTTGCAGGACGATGCAACTTCCCGCTTCAAAGCAACAAAGTCTTTCTTCCATCAAGTTCATTTGAGTATCAACAAGGGTAAAACTTAAGAAAAACACAGGTAGTTTCAGGATCTACACTTATACTGAGTTGCTTGCCTGCCTTTTCAGTATGGTAAAAAAAAAAAAAAATTAAAAACCCCGGTGGTTTTCAGTAGTTTCTTTCTCTCCTGGTTGCTGTGGAAAAGTCTTGTAGAAATTAAATACTTTGAAACACAAACATGATTGAACACATTGAAGCAAAATTGAAAAAAATGGCTTTTTCCCCCCAAATTATAGTGTGAAATTTCGATAGAAGGAAATATATTTCTTTGAAGTCAGCACTGTCCTTTCAAGTTGACCTTCAGTAACCTGAATCACATGTCCAAGACCACCAACAGGATGTAATTTTCATCTCCAAAGCTTTGGTCTTATAGGATTTATTGTTTAAGCTGTGAGAGAGGGAAGCACATTACATACTGCTGATGGTGCATTTGCGCATGTGAACAAAGATGAGGGTGAGGTGAGATTAGGACAAGCTCAGAATTAGCTCAGTGGGTTATTTATTCCATGACAGCACAGATTAAAAGGGCTGACTGTCCCTTTGGCCTTACAGGCACTCATGTGAGTTATCAAGCACGTTTTATGTTGCAGGAAAGAGGAGGAGATATTATCATCCAGGTAAATATCTCAATAAACGCCTGGAGTATTCAATGAACAGCACTTTGCATGTGATTAGCATGACACCTCCCAGGATCCAAAAATACCTTACAAGGAAATGCTCTTTTTAAGCCTCACTGGGGCGGGTGGACTGGATCAGTCCCAGCTGAGAGGCAAATACGCTGAGTCAGAGGGATCAGCTCCCCAGTCCAGGATCTCACGATCTTCAGGCAGGGCCAGCCTTGCCCAGTATGCTCCAGTTCAGCAGCAACACATTCCATGGAAGCCTCCTGGTCCCAGCCTGGTGCAGACAAGCACTTTGCTCACACCCTGTCCTACTGGACCAGCCTTCACTGAGGCTCTCAAGGGATTTAGTAGCAGATTCAGTAGTAAAAACCAGATGGCCTCATTCCTACTGACCCATTGTCACCGTAACATATTTCTCATTTCCAAGCAACTGGCTGTTCTCTCTCAGTCCTGGTTAATATTATTTGTGTTTTAATGCTTTCTAGGAACCATTCCAGCTTTACATCACAACAAATACCACCGGGTAGGGGAAACACTTAATCTGGCTGCCCTTGTTTTCAGTACTTCGCTTTAGGAACTAGTCCAAGCAGTCAGAGAAACAGCAGTGCTTGCCCCATGGTCAGAACCCTCCCCACATACACTCAGCCCCATTGAGAATGTGGCCTGTAAGTCTGAAGGTGGCTTTCCATCAAGGCTGAATTCTGGATCTCCTCCAGAAATCCTCCAAGGAGTGTGAATAAGCTAAATAAAGAGAAATCCACAAAAGTTTGTGATCAAATGACTCTTTGGGTTTTTTTTTTCTTTGCAGACACATTGGGTATTTCCCATTTTCTTCCTCTTGGTCTCACCAGCAGCAGGTCTTTCTCCAGCCATCATTACC